ATCAACGTTGCTACATCCAGTTTTAAAATTAGTTTGTCTTGTTGAAGGATAGTTATCAAATTTTATTGTAAATCTAATGATTAGTTGTAGAGGATTATTTTCCTTCACTTTATTATATTTCTTGAGTCGAGAGATCTTATGCTTTTATGATAATATAAAACCATAGACACAATATAAATATGTCTATTATAAATTTGTCACTTTTTTATGTATTGGACAAAACCTTGCTTTACTCTTAAATGACGAAACCGTCAGAGATTTGACCTAAAAATCATACTAAGAAGCTGAATTTTTGCTTGGAGTGTCAATTTTGAGACCCTAAAAAATGCAAAAAAGTTTACCACTACTACTCTCTACTTCCACCTAAAAGGCCAACTCGTAGGAGAAAACGAAAAAAATAATCCATTTGCCAATAATCTGTAGGTCGTAGAAAAAATGTTTCAAAAAAATGTAGCTGAGATAATTTTGAACAAAAATGTTTATTAGCACTTTTCCTGTAGAATAAACCGCTCTCTCAGAAACAAGGCTTGAAACGACCGGCGATTTTGAATACCAGTTACGCACGCAAAATAAATTTTAAATAAAATGTGTATCAAATCGTTGGGAGCAATTCGATATTAGTAGTATTCGATAGTTATTCGATAAAAGAACTTCAATGGTTAACCATAGATCATTTATACAAATATCACCTCGCCTCAATGATATATCGAATTATTTCGTAGTCAAATCCTATTTATGTAAATAACAAATAGTATTTCGTGGAGATGATCGTAATCTCGATCTGAGATATCCTCATAGTCTTATGCTGCCAAGATATAAACTAGCTATTTTCCAGTGATCGTTTACTTACAATGCTGTTTTAGTGTTTAATAGTTTAACAATAAATTTAAGAAGTAAATCTTGATCTCATGAAGCGGCATTATAAGAAATTTTTACTACAAACGCAGTAACGTTATTATTATTATATACTATATTGTTGTCGTTATTGTTACCATTAGATACTTTTGTTTTTATTTATCATTCATATCATTTATCACATAGCATAAAAAATTATTTTCTTTTTATTATTTTTATAGTAGCCACATGACTATTTCTATGATTTCAATATTATATTATTATTTATGTCAAATTATAAATCACTTTTTTCATTGTCTAATTATTTCAAACTAACTTTGTAAACTTGAGGTTAAGTGAGTAGCTATAGCTAGATTTCACCTCATGTATCCCGTGTTTGTAAATTTTTACAGACTAAATAAAGGCAATTTATTATTATTATATCTTTTGATCAGAATGTCCTATTAGCAAAAATCAAATTGCGTTTTAAAGGTGAAAAGTGTAGCTTTCGTGCCGTAAAATGGGGTGAATAGGAACAATGGAGTGAATAGAAACAAAACTTTACAAAATAATAACAATAATCTTCCCAAACATATATATTATTTTCATTGAGCTATTTAAGTTTTGCCGGTTGGCTAATGTAATATGGCTTTGGGAAATTTAGATTTGTGTTGTTAGCGTCACTGGTTCCTATGTTTTTGGCATCGAGCAAAAAGACAAAAGAGGGAATGTAATGGTAGTGGGGGCAAACATATTGTTAGACAGGAAGTGCGATTTTTAGAGGCCACATTAAACAAGGAAAGAGAGTCTCTCTCCTTGTTTGAAATCAAATTTAGTTGGGTTATGTTATTGTTTGTCTCAAATGTCACATGAAATCTTATTTGTATTGAAGTTTTTTAACAATTGTGTCGCATTTTAGACTATTATCATTAATAATTAATTAAAACTTGCTCGTCTAAGACACATTCTGAAAATATTATATAGCTACTGTTGATAAGTCGGAAAATTTAAATTTGGCGCATTCGCATTTCCGGATATGTCCGCCATCAGAGGCCACTTTTTTGGTCTCCTTTTCATAAGGATTAGATTCCCTCTTTTGTCTTATTGCTCGATGGTTTTTGGCATCTACGTACGTACTACGGTCTTACACAGATATAAATGTTAATACAAAGTTATAAAAAATGTTAATATTAGGCAAAAAGGAGGTCAGACCTCACTTGATGCAGATGAAGTGCGAGTTCTCGTTGACAGACTAGCAGTTTGTGCTGACTAGGGATACCCAATAGATTCTCTCACCTTACAGTTAATCGTACGAGAATATTTGGAGCGCCAGGGCAAAGTTATTTCCAAGTTCAAGAACAACACCACTGGTCGGGATTGGGTGTATTCGTTTTTTACTCGGCACAAACAGACACTCTCAAACAGAATGTGTCATAATATCAAAAGGTCGAGCTCAGCTGTGTCCCCTGAGACAATTAATAAGTATTTCGACGAGTTAGAAAGATAAATTTAAGACGTTCCCGTAAGTCACATCGTCAACTATGATGAGACAAATCTTAGTGACGACCCAGGAAAACGTAAAATGATTTTTAGACGTGGCTGCAAGTACTCAGAATGAGTTGTCAACTAATGTGTGTAGCTAGTGGAGAGGGTAAAATACTAACACCTCATGTTGTATATAAGGCTCAACATTTATACGACAGTTGGAAGGAGGGAGGTCCGAAAAACTCTCGTTTTAATCGTACCAAGTCAGGTTGGTTCGATAGTTTTTATTTCAGTGACTGGGTTCAGTCCATTGCAATTCCATTTTTCAATGACCTAGAAGGGAAAAAATACTTGATTGGGGACAACTTGTCGTCTCACTTGTCAATCGATTTAATACAATTGTGCCAAGAAAAAAACATGAAGTTTATATTTTTACCAAGTAATTCCACTCACTTTACTCAGCCCCTCGATGTGGCATTCTTCAGACCCATGAAGATTATGTGGCCCAAAATAGTTGAGGAATGGAAAACAGGACCAGGCAGGAATGAATTCACAGTAGCTAAAGACAAGTTTCCTAGACTATTAAAGAAACTGGTTGATAGTCTTTTAGAGGAAAATGCCAAATCAGGGTTTAAAAAATGTGGCATCGTGCCTTTGGATCGCACCAAATTCCTAAGGATACTGCCGAACTCAGACAATGATAATACCAGACAATCTGGAACACAAACGCCCTTGTCAGGTTCTGTTCGCATGGAAGGGATTTATGAAACTTTTAAAGAACTTTTGAAGACATTAAGACAGTCTGATACTCAGAGACAAAAGAAAAAGAAAACAGAAATAAATGTCGAACCGGGAAAAGTGTTGTGGCGACAGATTTAGAAGAAGAAGAGTTTGAACCAGAAATAGGATCATCAGGAGTTCAGAACATAGAACTGAATCCCTCAAAACGAGAATCTAGTGCTTCAGAAAACTCTCTCCAAGACAATGACAATCAGCTAGTGTTGTCATTTGATAAAGAAACTAACACTTGCGTTAACCCTGGAGACTTCCTAGTGGTCATAGTGTATGGCAAGACCAAGCAATCTTTCAAGTTCTACGTTACTAAAGTTCTCTATCATTAATATGGCTGCCGTAGGAATATTTTTTTAAGAAGGTTCGCCAGGCTTGGAAATTTTTCGAAACTGAAGAGGAAATTTTTTAAACCCGATGATATTATAAGACAGTTGTCTGTATTTATAAACGTGAATAACTCGTCTCGGTTTAAAAACAACGATCTTAGTGATTTTAGTAGCCGATCTTAAAAGAATATTTTTTATTTCAACAATAAATTTTTTAAATAAAACAAACTTTATATGTGTATGTTACTTTACACCTTATACACTTTTTACCTGTTTCTATTGACCCTACAAATGTATTAATAGGAACACAATAGTTTTCCATACTGTTGTTCCTATTCCCCCACTTGATGGGCTGAATAGGAACACCAGGTTTTGATTTTTTTGTGAGTAGAGTATTAACTTTCTAATTTTTTAACACTTAAATATCAAAAGAGGAAGGAAAGACCCTAATAACAATGCATAAGTTTTGTGTTTGCAGCATGTGTTTTCATAAAGTCAGTTTTTATAAAAGTGGTACATAAATAAACGTAGCATGATTTCTCCCATTTTTTTCGATTCTCATGAGATTAATAAAATGTATCACTTTCATTGACCGGTCATAGTAGAATTTTTATTGTTAGAACCCAATCTTTAAAAACCGAAACACGAAATTTGGATTTTAATTGGCTACCAATATGGGGCGTTTAAAATAGGTCGAAAAAACGCAGAATTCAAACTTTTATATTACAAACGATCGCAAGTCACGGGAAATGTCTCCACAAAGACATTATTGGGTAAAGATTGTAGCGGAAGATGTGTACTTTTGAAAAATGTTTGTTTACTTGTGTAATTGCATAAAAGCAGTAAAAGTTTTAGACATTTTGTAATGTGAAAGTTTAAATTTAGCTTTTTTTAGGTATACTTCAAATAATCAATGAAAGTGATAAATTTTATTGATATCGTGAGGATCATAAAAATGACAAAAATTGCGCAAAATATTATCAAATTTTTACCGTAGAGTTGATACAAATTTTATTTATAATTGATTTTGCACGCATAACTGACAGTCAAAATCTCCATTCGTTTTAAGCGTTCTTTCTGACAGAACGTTTCGTTCTACATCAAAATTGATAAATACTAAACATTTTTTTTTTCAAAATTATGTAAGCTACGATAAATCGATTTTTCCGTTTTTTTCCTCTACGGGAGGTTTTATAGGAAAGCCGAGGGTTAGGAGTGATAAACTTTTGTGCATATTTTTGGGGTCAAAAAAAAGGACAATCTCAGCAAAATTCAGCTGGTTCCTATGAATTTTACAGGTTCAGTGTTCAGTCTTCTGACGACTAGCGACTGGAGTACCTACAGTTCACAGCGACAATATGAGTATGACAAATATATTTTTTTAATATACCTATTATTTTATTTGATGCATAGCAGTTGACAGCAGTATTTTTATTTATTTATTTATTTTTTGTAATCCCTTCAATACCTACTATGAGCTGCCTCTGTATTAGAAATCCCTTCCCCAAATATGCAAACGCATCTCTGCAACGTATGCAATCAGTATTACAGCAACATATAATCTGACAGTTCTCCTACCACGAGGCATAAATTCAAAATAAGTGTTTATTAACTTATTGTTAACTTAGGTGATAAGTGATAAAAGTATTAATATCAATGAAAATTAAAATAAACACGGTAAACAAAGTAAGTACGCAGAATTACTGATAAATATGTAATAGAATAATTAGACGTTATTATACTTATGTGTTAGCTTGTATAACAAAAACAATCAAACAATGAATATTATGCTACATATGCATCAACTGTGCATTGCCCCTATGCGTTTTAACAATTAAAATACAAAGGATATTTTAAATATTAATTGAAATAGCTGTCTTAAAGTTTTATTATTAAGGAGCGGTATTTTATGTAGAAATATATTAGGTACATTATATTTCAGTTTAATTAAACTAGGTATAGGACATAAAAAGCAGATTCGTAAAATTGTCTTATACTTTAAATTTTATATTCAAAATTGTTTCATTTTATTGTTTAGCACGTCATATTTCCCGTCTAAATTCTCCTTGGGTTGATAATTTTTTTTATTGTTGACCTACTTTAAATATTGAAAATTATTTTAAAACCACATTACTTATATATTTAAATAATAATTTTGGTGCCTAAATGCTATATAGTTTCATAATTTTTTTCTAAAAATAATTATAAGTATTGCTGTTTTAAAGAGTCCTAGTGGTAGATATTATGTAAGCCACATTTCGAATATTCATACTATTTTAAGTCATCCTTTTATTAGGCATTTTTACTTGTTGAAGTCATTTTAGTGACTATGACGTCTTTTGTTTCTCACGATGTATCCTTAATATTCAAATTTTTTTCCTTTTTATTATGATATTTGATCCATTCATTTAGTCCACATCTTAAACGCTTCCAGTACCCTTGCTGTGCTTCATAGTTCAAAACTGTGCTGTAAGATCCATTATAGTTCCTTTTTGGTGTTTATTTCTTGATAACTTTTTTATTTCTAGTTGTGGAATGTAATATTTCATTTTCTATATTACTTGCTCATTGTGTAAGATAGCTTTTCGAACAAGAGATATCCTGTTCGTGAAACAAGTTATCTTCTAACATTGCTACAAAAAGAACTGTAAAGTATTTAACACAGTTCAGAGATTGTAAAAATAAGTAAATCGTTTCTTTCAGACTGTATTGGAGACTCCTCCTGTACAAAATGAAGAAGATTCTGATATTTGGAGTCATGGTTTCATGATACCTTCTAATGCAGATGATGCTCCTGAAAGGTAAGACAAATATTTATGTTAAAATAATGTAATAGCTTTACAATGCAGAGTAGTCACAAAATCAAATCAGTCGGGGTTGTAGTTTCATTCACCTGAGAAATAAATGGTACCAGTGTGATAAAAATGAAATGTACAAAATGATGATTCCATTAAAACAAGTATATTAAATGATGAAGATTGTTACATTTAAAAACAAATGTTGACTTCTAATGTGGCTAAAAGTTTTTCTATTATCACTAAAATGGATATGCATTCTCTTAAGTGCATTTCCTTTTCTCTCCTAGTTGAATTTCAAGGAATCAGCAGAATGTGCGGCTCTATTTTCGCCAAGATGAGTATTGGATACTTTTTCAAATCAGGCTAAATTGTATTGCTATGGTCATCATAATTCATACAAAAGAGGAGGGTATCTCTTACTCAACAAAATGTTGATTTGGAAATGAGCAAAAACTAATAAAACAATCTGAGAGTTTCACAATCGAATGAAGTAGTTTTTTTTTTCAGAAAAAACTTTAGCAGAACTTCTTCGCAGTGGCAAATTAACCCGTTCTTTCAGGCCACTTTGCAACAGTGAATTTTAGACCAATCAGTGGTCTCGTATATGGCCAGAGAGTGTTAGTGGTTTGATTCTATGATGACATTCAACAGACTATTGTAATAGTATACAACCAAATACTAATGCTAAAGCTTTAGCAATATGTTCACAGAGTTTCTTTCACTTATTTACTGTGATTGTGACAAATTCCTTTTCTATTAACATTTTAACATCTTCTAGAAGAGTTCTATATGGTATGACACATGGACACTTTCTTCATGTGCTTTGTCAACTTTATATTGAACGTGAACTTGTTTTTGTCGTCTTTTAATGTCATAAGTACTTTTCCTATTGTAAAATTATGTTAAAGATGGTATATTTCTCCCTGTCAACCAAGATATCATATCTTCCTTTGTAGAATTCCTCGTGTTCATTCATTTATTGTAGTAACAAGTTTTATCAGTTCCAGCGACAGATTTTGCATACAAATAAACTTCTTGAAAGATTGTGAATTTGTATTACAAAATTTAATATAATTCCTATCATCTTAGTTATTGGAACAAGTCGATTCAAATAAAAAAATTCAATAAATTTATTTTTTCTAGATGGGGAAGTAAGAACAAATGGTGCAGGCCATCGTGTATTCCTATCTCTATAATATGTATCCTGATCTTCCTCGTAGTGTTATTGCCGCTATTAGACCACGCCTCCGAGAAAAGTTTGAACAATTTGAATGGTTTTCTAAAAGAGAATTGCAACAATACTTGCGGGTGAGTGATTTTGTTTATAAATTAATCAGTAATAAAATAATTTATGTACCTCTTGAGTCATACACTAATAAAGATAAGTCGCAGAAAGGTGAGTACAAAACACGTACATATACAGAATGACAATTTAAAAATGTTCTAACGTTAATGTCTTTATTCCTGTTATTAATACGAAAAATCGAAAAGATCGTTTTGTATTACATAATACATACAATAATAATACATAATACAATACTTATAATAAAATATATAATAAAAAAATATAATAAAAAATATAAAAATAATAATTGATGGATTCGATCGTTACTTGATGGAAATTCATTTTATGTAACAATAAAACACTGAAAACTTTGTTTTCAAACTTCCACAAAATTTATTTTAAATCTTATCACTACAGCTGTTTCGGCTGATTGCCTTTCTCAAGTGATCTATTTTTGGCTTGGGTTTACAAATTTATAGTCTCTAATAAAATAGGTTGAGGAGGGGAGAACTGTTTGTCTGAAGTTGGTCATTCAGAATTATATCTGTGTTTTTTAATTTGTTGATTTCCATAGATTCTAACAAAGATAGCTTAAGGCCTTTATTTTGAATGTGAAGAATTTTAAATTTGTCATTAAAAGAATGATTATGATCTAGATGTCGAATCTGTTTTCCTATTCTTGAAAGCCCTTTTATGTTCTGCTATTCATTTATCAAAGTTTCTACCAGTTTGACCGATGTAAGTTTTTGGGCAGTCGCCACATTGAAGTTTGTACATACCACTATTTAAGTGTTTTTTATTTTGGCTCTTGTTATTTTTAATATATTTGCCTAGGTTGTTATTTGTTCGGAAAGCTGGTGTTATTCCTTTCTTTTTTATGTGTTTGGCAATTTTTGTTGTTATTTTGCCTGTATATGTAATCGAGCAGAAGGTACTGGGTTTTTTCTCTGGTGGTGGAAATAATGATTGATGGACATAAACTGGCAGCTTATCATAGTATGTTACATAGATTAACAGAAATTCCGATGTCAAAAGACAACTTTGAGACAGAATTAAATATAATTAAGCAAATAGCAGTAAACAACGGATACAACGAACAAACGATTAATAAAATGTTAAATCAAAAACTACACAAGAAAGCCCTGAAATTAGTATTTCCACCACCAGAGAAAAAACCCAGTACCTTCTGCTCGATTACATAAGGCAAAATAACAACAAAAATTGCCAAACACATAAAAAAGAAAGGAATAACACCAGCTTTCCGAACAAATAACAACCTAGGCAAATATATTAAAAATAACAAGAGCCAAAATAAAAAACACTTAAATAGTGGTATGTACAAACTTCAATGTGGCGACTGCCCAAAAACTTACATCGGTCAAACTGGTAGAAACTTTGATAAATGAATAGCACAACATAAAAGGGCTTTCAAGAATAGGAAAACAGATTCGACATCTAGATCATAATCATTCTTTTAATGACAAATTTAAAATTCTTCACATTCAAAATAAAGGCCTTAAGCTATCTTTGTTAGAATCTATGGAAATCAACAAATTAAAAAACACAGATATAATTCTGAATGACCAACTTGAGACAAACAGTTCTCCCCTCCTCAACCTATTTTATTAGAGACTATAAATTTGTAAACCCAAGCCAAAAATAGATCACTTGAGAAAGGCTATCAGCCGAAACAGCTGTAGTGATAAGATTTAAAATAAATTTTGTGGAAGTTTGAAAACAAAGTTTTCAGTGTTTTATTGTTACATAAAAATAATAATATATAATAAAATATTTTTAGCACAGCACTTACCAATTGCTGTTGAGTTATCTTCAATAAATAAAGGATCAACAATAGGATTTTCGAGAATACCAATCCCCACACTAACTTTTGTGGATGTTACGTATGCTTTTCCCGAAAATTATGATACGGTAATTCCGGCTAAATAAAGATATAGAAAAGACACCTAAGATTTGATTTCACGTATAGTGCCTCTACAATTCGCTTATACGTATTTCGACCTTTCAGGTTTCGCCAGAGCGACTAAGTAAGAAGCTTTATACCTAAAATTAAATCTTTTCCGCCAAAGGAAGTAATTAGGTCAGTTTTTAACGTGTAGAAATCTTTGTGTTTTCCTCACCCAGATTTTTCTTGCATTCAGAAAGTTTTAGTTTTGTGACTTATGGAGTTATTAATCTTTAATATCTAAAATTTGAAATAGAACAGAATAAATTTAATTAACAAATAGCACGTACCTGTTGAATATATTGAACGGGGAAAAAGCACAAAAAAAGGTTTGCGAATAGTTACAACGATCTAGAAATATTATAAGATGTGAAAACAGCAAATAGTCAACTACGTTTTACTCCACGTTTTGTATAAGACCATAATCCACATTATTACAGCTGTGTACTGGATATTTAATTTTTTTTACTATTTTGACGCTTTATAGTTTGTACTCGTATTTTCCCTTATAGTACTGTAACTCGAAAAAAAATTCTTTTAACTCCCCACAAATGTTTACACAACCGTTTTTATTTCTAAATCGATTGATTAGTTACCGGTAATGTATTGCTAGAAATGACGCTCACCATCTTACTGAAACATTATCTGATCCTCAACTCTGATCTTACTGAAACAGTTTATGGCCGTTTTCTAAAAGTTTCGTGATCAAAGGGTTAATGGTATTCAAAAGTGGTTCAACAATATGGTCTTTCAAAATTCCGACACGTACATTGAGTTTTAGGGCTGTTGAGTATGAATTTTCCTAAACTATTGTGTATTTTTTTTTGTGTGTGTGTTTTGGCTTGGACAATTGTCATTCAGCCAGTCTCAATCAAGAGAAGTTTATTAATGTAGTGTGTTTGTGTGTGTAGAGTAATTGTCTTGATACTTAGCAAAGTTGACGTCATTGTCTTTGCTAAGAGACGCTAATTGTATCCGAACGTCTGCGGTCCCTCCGGTGTGTACCGATCACACAAGGATAGAAATTATTTTCATTTATTAATTTTTTTAATAAACGAAAATTTCCACCCAGGTGGGATTCAAACTCACGACCTTTAGATTTAAAGGCAGGCGCTCTTACCACTGAGCCACAGAGGGGGTTCTATTGTGTATTAGTTTACTTCACTACTTCGCCATTCAATATAAAATTGCACTCGTAAAAAAACAGATAATTATAAAGCAAATTTGCAAAAAGTTTTCAAAACTGCAGGTGTCGATCAGGACCATCTTCGTTCTACTACTTCTACTTCGTTCTTGTGTCATTTTTGAATGAAATTGAAGTGTATTTAAAATTGATAAGTTTCTAGTTTACATTCTTATTAATTTATATTTTCAATTTCAATGATTGATAATAATCCAACCAGTAACAATAATAATAAAAATATAATTTCTTACAGCTAATAAGAATTGTCGAATAAAATCTATATCGTTTATTAAAATCCGATAAAAACATAGAAAACCTATTTCATTATTCAGGAACGAAACGAATTATCAGTTGATATCGTGACCTGAGGTTGGGGATGTGTGATGTGGATTTATAATCGCATAAACTGATTTGAAATATTAGAAGGGCAAATTTAAGAATTCGTTTGGAAGAAAACAAATATTCAAAATCTTCTCGCACTTTTTGGTTTGAGATCTAATCAATATCTTGTCTCTTCCAATTAAGTCGTCTTGTCATTTATTTGATAGCTGATAGTATGATAGCTTTAACATGCATAAGAAAATAAAGGAAATGACAAATACACTGAGAAAAAAGAAAGATGCCCTTCTGAAAGACGCAAATGGAAAAATCATTATAGAAATAAAGAAAAATTTAAAAAAAAATGGAAGACATACATAACAGATCTGTGTGAGGATAATCGACAAGAACCGGAAGAAATCGACAGCGAAACCGGGCCAGAGATCGTAATAGAGGAAATCGAACAAGCAATACGAAACGCAAAAAACGGAAAAACTGTAGGTCCAGACGAAATACCTGCGGAACTACTGAAATGTCTAGACGATGAGACTCTATCTGTACTTCTGGACCTATTTAATGAAGTATATAAAACTGAAAAAATCCCACAGGAATAGTTGGTGTCCATCTTTGTAGCAATACCGAAAACTTCTTCTTCACGTGCCATCTCCGCTACGAAGGTTGGCTATCATCATGGCAATTTTGACCCTGGAGGCTGCCGCTCGGAACAATTGTATGGAAGTGCAATCAAGCCACTCCTTGAGGTTTCTCAACCATGACATTCTTCTTCTACCTATGCTGCGCCTACCTTCAATCTTTCCTTGCATAATTAGTTGTAACAGTTGATATTTATTCCCACGAGTAATATGTCTCAGGTATTGTAGTTTCCTCATTTTAACACTCAATACGACCTCCTTTTGTTTGTTCATCCTGTCTAATACAACTTGGTTAGTTATCTTATCCTTCTTCTACCATTCTTCTTCTACCTATGCTGCGCCTACCTTCAATCTTTCCTTGCATAATTAGTTGTAACAGTTGATATTTATTCCCACGTGTAATATGTCCCAGGTATTGTAGTTTCCTCATTTTAACACTCAATACGACCTTCTTTTGTTTGTTCATCCTGTCTAATACAACTTGGTTAGTTATCTTATCCTTCCAGGAGATTTTTAACATTCTTCGGTACGCCCACATCTCAAATGCCTCCAGCTTACCCATACATTGCTTATTTACATTATAACATCATATAGTCATTATAACATTTAAGCATTCGTATTTTCAGCTTTAGGCTTAGGTTTCGGCTACACAACATTTGTTTCATGTTGTTAAAGGCACTGCGGGCTTTCTTTATTCTTATTCTTATTTCTCTGGTGTATTCGTTTGACTCGTTAATATTTGTTCCGAGGTAATTGTAATTTTGTACTCGTTCAATGAGATTCTGTCCTACATGTAAGTTGATATTATTGATACGTTTCTTTGTAATTATCATGAATTTGGTCTTCTTTGTATTCAGTGACAGACCAAATACCGAAAACAGTATATGCCAAAGATTGTTCAGACTA